GGAGGAGGCTACAATGCTTGATAAGAAATGTACTCATTATCTTGCCCATGTAATTGTAACCCCTCTGTACAGTATTTTCACAATAAAAAAAATGTCAAAGGTCAAAAAAAAAAAGAGTCTCTGGGACTTTCCTGCCCAGGCTGGCTTTGAACCGTGATCCTCAGATCTCTGCCTCCTGAATAGCTAGGATTACAGGTGTGAGCACCTGGCTTCATATTTATTTTTGTCAGTGAAGCGACCTGAAGATATATGAGTATTCAAAGTGCTTGATTATTTTCTGGTAGATATTTCTAACCTTTAAGCTTCTGGAAGGGCTCCAGATCAAACTTTAGAAAGATCAGTAAGGAGAAGAACCTAAAGCTACATCACTCAACTGCCTCCAGCTATAATATCCTCCTTACTTATAAAATAATGAACTTGAACTAATTACCTGACATTCCTTATAGTTGTGACTTTCTGTGGATCAAAAGAACAAAATATACTCACAAACAAGATGAGCTCAAACCCAGGACTTAACAACTGTGACAACCCTGTTCACTTTCCACTGTCACCCACATGCCCCTTATGACACTGTAAAGCAGAAAGTCCTAGAGAAGCAAGTGAGGGGACAAGGCAATAAGGCAAGTTGTGGAAGTGAAGAAGGGTAAGATCACCTGGCACAAATGACTGCAGGAATGAAATCCAGGTTAGAGCCATCTCTGTAGATCAGGTGTGAGATGCTAGGAGCAAAGGCTACTATACTTTTAGAGGTCTCCCTGCTCTGTGAGGAGGGAAGGGGGTTGACCAGAGGGCAGAGTGAGTAGTAGCTGTTTTTACTGCTTGTGCAGTGGTTCTTGGGAGCCTCACAGAGATACACTGCCATCATACCAAATGGCAGTGCTCTGTAAAACACTTACCATTCTGGGTATAATCCTTCATCTGCATGTCCACATCATCTTTTTTTGTGTGTGCCCATCATGGGGCTTGAATTCAGGGCCTAGGTACTGTCTCTGAGCTTTTTTGCTCTGGGCTAGCACTCTACCATTTGGGGTATAGCTGCACGTCCAGCTTTTTTTTTGGCAGTTAATTGGAGATAAGAATCTCATGGGCTTTCTTGAAAGCCCAGGCTGGCTTCAAATTGTGATTCTCAGATCTCAGCCTCCTGAGTAGCTAGGATTATAGGCATGAGACACTGGCACCTGGTGCACATTGTTTTCTTAAAAGCCACTGTTTTTAGAAGATATGGCTCAAGTGGTAGAGTGAAAAAGCTAAGCAAGAGCTTGTAGCCATGAGTTCAAACCCCAGAACCAGCACACACACACACACACACACACACACACACACACACACACACACAGAGTCATAGATATAGATTGTAGACAATAAAAAGGCTGGCCTCCTTCAAGGTGCCCTCAGTCTACAGGGTTCATTAGTTTGTTCTTAAGAGATGGCAGTTGCACAAAAAGGTATGAGGGACAGAGGGACAAGAAGAAGGCTCAAGCTATCTCCACAGAGTGAGCTAGCATTTAAGGGTCCCTGGAAGAAATGGCACTCCAGGAGGGAACAGGGTAGAAAGCAGACAAGCATAGGCCAGGTGGCTCTTGGGGGCAGAGGTATCCACAGCCTGGTAAAACTAGGCACATGCAGCAGTCAGGAAGAGGGAGATGAAGTGGAGCTGTGGCTCAAGTGATAGAGTGCCAGCCTTGAGTCCAAAAGCTGTGGGACAAAGCTTAGGCCCTCAGTTCAAGCCCTAGTATTGACAGAAAAATTAAGTAAAGTAAGTAAGTATGGGGATATGAGGAAAGAAAACATTGTGGAAATGGTTTCAAGACCTTTTAGTTGTAACAAAATCACCTGTTGGGCTTATCTGAGCACAGATTGTAGGCCCCACTGCCTCCTTGCTGGATTTTAGGGGTGTGTGGCCCTCTACAATTTGCATTTCTCACACATTCTCACAGGCTGCAGCTGCTGTTTTAAGAACATTTTGAGAACCACTGCTTTAGAGCCAAGACCACAGAGAAGTTCCAGGGGTGTGCCAAAGAGTTTGAGTTTTTACCCAGGGGCAGTGGGGAAACATTGATAGCTTGGTAAAGAAGGATCATGGTGAGCACTTGTGTCCACACTAGGAAAATCCTGACAGATAAGACAAAGACAAATCAGAGGTTACTGTCTAAATTTAGGTGAACATTAAGTGCAATCATCATTTTCCTTACAAGATGGCTGAAAAATATACAGTGCTATTTTAAGCTGTCACCAATACAATGATTTGATGCTGGAAGAAATCTGGCTATTGAAAGAACCCTATTCTGCAAAGCTTTGAAATACCTGAGGCTCCAATTTAATATTGCTTAAAATGAAAGACATGCATCATACACTGTCTCTCTCTGATACCCAAGTTCTCCTTTTTGAGACAATATAGAGAGGCTTCAGTATTAATCCTGAGGACCTCATTGACCATTACAAATCTAGATGAATAACATTTTAGTACATTTCTCTAGGACAGGCTAATAGGAAACCCTAACTTTGCTCTGTTTTTGAATGTAACTTTTCTTGAGTCAATCTCCTTTAGTGAATTATAATGACTCTCACAGATTATGTTGGTAATGAGGAAATTTTGGGAGAGGCCAAAAGTATAAAGAAAGTAAATCTATTGGCCATCCTTCTTTCCTCTTCAGAGAAGTTTCTCTTTAAGTCTTTAGCCCACTTATTTATTGGGCAGTGGTTTCTTTGAAGATTTGTTGTTGGGGGACAATCCCCCTTTTTAAAATCTTTTTTTCTTTTTTTATTGTGAAAATACTGTACAGAGGGGTTACTTACATGGACAAGATAATGAGTACGTTTCTTATCAAGCATTGTAGCCTCCTCCTTTGTTTCCCCTTCCCAACCCTTCCCATCCTCCCTCTGCCCCCCCCACCCAACAACAGATGCTGGAGGGGATGTGGACAGAAGGGAACCTTACTACATTGTTGGTGGGAGTGTAAACTTGTTCAACCACTTTGGAAAGCAGTATGGAGGTTCCTCAATAGACTGCACATAGAGCGCCCCTATGACCCAGCAATGCCACTTTTGGGCATTTACCCAAATGATCACAAACAAGACCATACTAAAACTACCAGCACGACTATGTTTATTGTGCATTATTTACCATAGCTAAGATATGGAACCAACTCAGATGCCCCTCAGTAGATGAATGGATCAAGAAAATGTGGTATATATACACAATGGAATTCTATGCCTCCATCAGAAAGAATGACATTGCCCCATTTGTTAGGAAATGGAAAGATTTGGAAAAAATTAAGTGAAGTAAGCCAGCCCCAAAGAAACATAGGTCCCATGGTTTCCCTTATTTGCAATAACTAGTATATGTCTGAGTCAAGCAGAAAAGGTCAGATAAGTTGATGTTAGGGGAAATGAACCCCAAGATGTATTCAAATGTTTTTTTTTCTTTCATGCAATTGTTTCTAACACATTTATAAGTTTATTTCTTTGTTGCTTTGTATGTCCCTCCCCCACGGTATAACCCCTGCTTTCACTATATTTGATGTCGGTATAATTTGTGGAAGGGAAGGGAAAAAACAAATAGTTTAAATAGGGATACAAGTGGACCCATTGCAACAATGAGATGTACAAGTTGTTATGTTGAAAACGAACTTTACTACTTTGGTGGGGGGGAGGAGGATTGGGTAGGGGGGCAGGAGGAGGATGGGAAGGGATGGGAAGGGGAAACAAAGGAGGAGGCTACAATGCTTGATAAGAAATGTACTCATTATCTTGCCCATGTAATTGTAACCCCTCTGTACAGTATTTTCACAATAAAAAAATTAAAATTAAAAAAATAAAAAACGAAATGTATTCATTATCTTGCCCACGTAATTGTAACCTCTCTGTACAGTATTTTCACAATAAAATAAAAAGGGTGGGATTGTTATGAGGAATCTGGGCTAACTAGGATTCAAATGTACTTGTGGACCTGGGATAGTTTATCTTGAAGAATAAAGTTAGATAATAATAATAATAAAAAAAATAAAGAGTTGGTGTTAAAAAAAGTAAATCTAACTTTCCGTTCTTACGTTGGATGAGAATTTATACTTGTTATACACTAAACATGTTGGATTCTGTCTTTACTATAAACAAAGTATGGAAAGGAACTTTTAAAAAAGCATACAAAGATAAACTGATCTTTTTGTTTGGTCCTTGCAGGCCTCAGGGGAGCAATGGCATTTGCTCTGGCTATCCGTGACACAGCCTCATATGCTCGCCAGATGATGTTCACGACCACTCTCCTCATTGTCTTCTTCACTGTCTGGATTATTGGTGGAGGTACAACACCCATGTTGTCCTGGCTTAATATAAGGTTAGTTCAGAACCAAGTTAAGTTTTGTTTCTAAAATGGTCAAATGTCACTGTTATGGAAAATGTTCAATGTGCTGTGCAGCGTGTGTGACAGCTTAGTTCATGTAAGGTTTCAAGTCTTTTCTGTTTTTTTTTTTTTTAGGGGCGAGAAATTATTTTTTTTATTAAAAAGTTGAAGCACTGGAATTTTCTAGAAGAAAAAAATGTTTTCATTACAATTTTTGCCAGAGCACACAGGAAATTAGAAACACCTGGGTCTTGCTAGTACAGTGACATCAGGGGTGAGAATTAAAAAACTCTTAAAGCTGCAGGAGTGGGATCATATCACATTATTTCTTTGCTGGTAAGGGTCTTGAACTAAGGGCTTCTCGTCTTTTTTTGCTCACAGCTGGTGCTCTACCACTAGAATCATGCCTCCAGTCTGACATTTTGCTGGTTAATTGGAGAATGAGTCTTGCAGGGTGTTCTGTTTAGGCTAACTTTGAACAGTAATCCTCAGATCTTAGCCTCCTGAGTAGCTAGGATTATAGGTGTGAGTCACCAGTGCTAGGCTTCCCATTCTTTTTGATGAAACCTCGGGTCTGAAGGATGAGCTCCTCAGCCAAAGATTTTTTTAAAAAAAGAAGCACATAGAGCTTTGCTTGAACATGAAGCTCATGCTGAGTGTTTCCTTCCTTGAGTGTACTGAGGAGGTGACATTTCCTGTGCAAGCCTCATGTGTTACAACTTGTGGATGTCCTTTGCCTTTCTGTGGCTTTGTCTGAACAGAAGACCACTCACCTGAGTTTGATTTTTTAAAAGCATTTGAATTTCTAACTCTGTGAGCTCTAGCACCTTATGAGCAATAGGACATAAAAATAGGGTTCCAAGATTCCCCCCACCTCCACCACTATGCTGGTGTTGGCTCAAGACACACCCTTCACATCTTTAAGCCCCCAGTTTTCCTCAGCATTAAATGAAGGCTGTCTATCAGACTCCTTCCAGGGCCCTGCAGCTCTAAATGTTGCTCTTGGCATCACTGGATGTGCTCTGGCTACCTGCCATAGTGTCAGATCTGCACAGGGTGACCTGATCCCATAAAGAAGTACTTGGATGGGGTGCTAGTGGCTTTCACCTATAATTGTAGCTACTCAAGAGGCTGAGATCAGGGGATTGATATTCAGAGCAAGCCTTGGCAAACAAATGCACCAGACTCTTATCTCTAATTAACCAGCAAAAAGCTGAAGTAGAAATGTGGGTCAAGTGGTAGTGCACCAGCTGTGAGCAGAAAAGTCCTAGTGAAATGAGAGTGCAAAGCTCAGACTTCAAACACAAGTAGCAACATACATACAAGGAAAGAAGGAAGGAAGGAAGGAAGGAAGGAAGGAAGGAAGGAAGGAAGGAAGGATAAAAGAAAGAAAAAAGGCCCTTGGGTAGTACAAAGGCATGGGGAGCCATTCTCGGACGATCCACAAGGTGGCGATGTTTGTTTCTTTCTCTGCTGGTTTTTTATATTCCTAATTGTAGTTGAGTAGACTGCAGCCTGTACATAGCTCAGAGGTGAGGAAATTAACAAGGATCTCCTAGCCATCCTTGGAGTTGAGAGGGAAACTGGAATTTAGGAGAATACTCAGTTCCAGAGGCTTTTGTGTTAGTTGGGGCAGGGATTCTTGGGCTTCCCCGCTGCCAGCTCTAACATTTCTGGACTGGTGCCTTAGTCTACAGATCCAGGAGGGACCCAAGTTGCAGGTGCTCCTCAAGGTAATTCTTATAGTATTCCTATAAGGGAGATATCAGTTGGGGAAAGTGAGACATAGAATAGCATCTTTCCCCAAGGTCTCAGCACTTTAAATAGATAAGCTTCGATTGGATGCCAGGAAGTCTTCCACAGGCTTTCCTCATGTAGGACTCTAAGAAGGATTGTGCTCAGGAATGTTTTCATGGCCTGATGATTAGAATTTCTACTTCCTGATATGAATACCAAGGATTGGATTAAGGGAACTAATCTGTCCTTGGGAGTATAAACCTAAAGAAAAACTTCACAGTTCAGAAGTTTTATAAAACCTTGACATAGGCTGTTTGTTTGGTGATTCATGCCTGTTACCCTAGCTACTCAGGTTGCTGAGATATGAGAATCACAATTTGAAGCTAGCCTTGGCAAAAAAAGTCTGTGAGACTATTATCTCCAGGTAATCGCTACAAAGCCAGAAGTGGAAATGTGGCCAGGTGCCGGTGGCACACACACACACACACACACACACACACACACACACACACACACACACACACACACACACACACGGAGCAGGAGCAGCTATCTCTGAAGCACAAGGCAAGGATGCCTAAACTAGGCTGGGGACTCATAGGAAGGAGAAAACAAACAGGCAACCAACAGTGCTGCCCCATCAGTCAGTTTCAGCACCTCACAATGTGAGACATTGTATTCTAAGTGCTTTCTGAATATAATCGACTCTGTATTTCTGATTTGGTCCATCGATTTGTCTGTTCCTTCAATAATTCCATACTAGGTTATTTTTTGGTAGTTTGTATTTGTGCTAGTACTGTGGCTTAAACTGAGGTGGCTTAATGTAGCTTTTCACTCAGCCACTTGAACCATGTTCTGACTTTTTACTGATCAAATGGAGAAAAGTCTAGTGGACTTTCCTGCTGGGATTGGCTTCAAATGTTGATCTTCAGATCTCAATCTCCTGAGTAGCTAGGATTACAGGTGTGAGCCACCAGTGCCTGGTTCCACACTGTTTTAACTATAGTTGTGCAATAATTTGGCATCAGGTAAATAGATTCTTCCCAGTTTATTCTTCTTCTCAAAAACTATTAGTTGCTCTAGTTCTGTTTCATGTACATTTTAGAATAAGCTTATCTGTATCCAAAAAAAAAGTATTTCTCTGAGCAAGCATGATAACTTACACCTGTAATACCAGCAGTCAGGAGGCTGAAACAGGAGTTTGAAGCCAGCTTGGACTATACAGAGAGCACTTGCCTCCAAAAATAAATAAATACAGCTTCCAACTCAGGAACATAGTATATTTCACTATTTAGATCTTCATTTATTTCTTTCATTAGTATTTTGTTTTTACATGTGCATTGTTATATAATAGATCCTGTCAATTTGCTAAATTAATTTGTTCTAGGAGGAGTTTTGATGGGATGCTTTTTATATATTGTTGGGGATTCTCTACATAGATCATTACATCATTTGCAAATAGTGACAGTTTTATTTTATCCTTTTCAGTCAGTGTGCCTTTTTTTTCTTACCTTATTCTTCTGGCTGATTTTCAGTACCATGTTTAATGATAAGAATATGAATAGATACCTTTGCCTTGCTCCCTGTATTAAAAAAGAATCATTCAGTCTTCTACCATTAGGCATCATAGTAGCTATAGGACTTTTGTAGCTATTCACTATCAAGTTGAAGAAATTCCTATCTCTTATTTGGATTTTTTGAGAGTTTTCTTTTTCTTTTTATTAGGAACATGCATTTTCTCCACCACTTGTTCATATGATTCTTTTGTCTTGTCTAGCCCTGTGGTGGATTACATTGATTAGTTCTCAAATATTGAACTGGTCTGCTTCTCTGAAATAAATCCTGCTTGGTATATGAATTTACATATTGCAAAATTTCATATTGCTAAATTTGTGAGCAAATACTTCTGTTAAACCTTTTGTGGCTATGTGTCTTGTTGGATTTCCCCAGCTTAAAGGGACACACATGAAGTGGTGGTGTTGATGGGGTGGGGAGGCAGTTGAAGGACATACAGCCATTGGACTGAATGAACAGGTAACTTTCATACACTAGAGGACAGTGATACAGTCACTGGAGGACAAGTAAGAACACTTCACTTGGTACAATTTATATAGATTGAAAATGTATTATGATACAGTTTTTTTACAAGAAAATATTAAAGAATAAAGGTGGAGAGAGGCCCCACTTCTTTAGGTACTAACAGTTATAGCAGAATTTGGTTTTCAGTACTGAGATTTGAACTTAGGGCCTTAAAGCACTTTATCATTTCAGCCATGCCTCCAGCTCTCTTTGGTTTGGCTATTTTTTTACACAGGGTCTTGCTTTTTTCCCAAATGAGTGGACCACAATCCTCCCATTTACTCTTTGCACATAGAATGGCAGGTGTGCATTACCATGCTCAGCTTTGTAAATGAATATTTTTGAGAGTTCTAAAATACATTATTAAGATATATTTTTAAGAATTTTATAATACATTATTTGGGATATAGATTTTTTCACACCTGTAGTATTCTTTTTTTTAATTTAATTTAATTTTATTTGTGAACATACTGTACAGAGGAGTTACAATTACATGGGCAGGATAATGCATACATTTCTTACCAAGCATTGCAGCCTCCTCCTTTGTTTACCCTTCACATCCCTTCCCAGCCTCCCCCCACACCTGTAGTATTCTTATCCACACCCTCTGACACTTGTGAAGAATACCATCAAGCATATTTGTACTTGACATATTGTAGGTAGTTTTTCCAGATACATTTTTGAAAATCAGTTTGGGGAAGGAATTCATTAACTAGGTGGACCAAAAGGTTCTTTTTCTTTGATGAGAGCTAGGTACTTCCTCACACAGTTCTTAAGCTCTGTTAAATTAAAGTTCCCACATTTTCATTTGGCTCTTGCTGGTAAGCAAGATCGCCTATGATTCAGGTTTTGCAGTGCCTTCATATCTAAAACTTTTACACTGCCCTTTTTAAAGCATTTATTTTGAGGAAATAAAAGGGCATTTGTCTAAATACATACATGAAGTATATATATTTTCTGTCATTCTAAAACAAATTTGTGTAGGAATGTTTCGCTGAATGTTAAATTTGGAAACGTAATGCTCCACATTATTAGAAATATTGTCTGTTAACTAGTTCAGATTTTTAAATAAATACTTTAGACTGTTAAAACTATATGTAGAAAATCTTTCCTAATTGAAATGAAAAAAATGTTAAAATATTAAAATGAAAATAAAATAATACCAATGAAAAAAAGAGTTTTAAAATATCACTTGGTACTCAAAGGTAATGTCCTGTACATGGAAGAACTAGGGTTTTCGGTTCCAATATCCTAACTTGGAAAATTCCTGTCACCATTTCTACCTCTTTATTTTACCTCTAATCCTCAGTTTCCTTACCAGATTTCAAACAGGGACAATCCTAGTGTGATGATCAAATGTGATTATATGTAAATGTGATGCAAGATTCGATCATTGGAGGCTGGGAAGAGTAGAGCTCAGTGGTAGAGTATTTTGTCTACCATGTGCAAGGCCCTGACTTCCATCCCCAGAACAACCACCCCAGAAAGAATTCTCTCATTAAAATGCCCGGTGGCACATGAAACCCTTAGTACATTTAGCTATTACATTATCTGCTATTGCTATTATTATGATTACAATTACCCAACAATAGTGTTTCTCACATTAAAGCAATCCTAACTTGTTTTTCTGGTATTTGTTACAGTTTTTCAATTCTGTAGTATTATGGGATGGTTCAGATCATATTCTGAATATGTAAGTAACTGGAAGTATCACCTTAAGAACTGTCAAAGCTGGGCTCCAGTGACTTACACCTGTAGGCTGAGATCAGAGGATTATGGTTCAAAGCCAGCCCAGGCAGGAAGGTCTGTGAGACTCTTATCTCCAATAAACCACCAGAAAATGGGAAGTGGCATTGTAGCTCAATGTAGAGTGCTCACCTTGAGCTGAATAGCTGAGGAACAGTGCCCAAGCCCAGAGTTCAAGCCCCACGACCGACAAAACAAAACAAAAACTGTCAAAGTCAGTGCCACTGGCTTATGCCTATAATCCTCAGGAGGCTGAGATCTGAGGACTAATATTCAAAGCTAGCTAGGACAGAAAAGTCCATGAGACTCTTATCTCCAAGTATCCAGCAAAAAGCCAGAAGTAGACCTGTATGTAGCTCAAATGGTAGAGTGCAAGCCTTGAGTGAAAAAGTTAAAATAGAATACCCAGGCCCTGAATTCAAGCCCCAATACTGCCACACACACACACACACACACACACACACACACGTACTCCCTCACACACTCACACACAGAGAGACAGAAATGTCAGATTCTTGCTTGCATATTTCAGAGGACAGAGTAACATGAGATTTGGGGCATTGTCCAACACAGTGCTTCTCAACATTTATTTTACATTAATGTGTTAGCCCTTAAGATCCTCAAAAACTTTTCTTTCAAACTTTATTTATTTATTTATTGAGCATTGCTACCCCCTCCTTTGTTTTTCTTCTACTATCCCTTCCCTACCCCACTCCCTCCCCAGGAAGTTGTAAAGTTCATTTCCAACATAGTGTCTTGTGAGTATCATTGTTGCAATGGGTCATCCTGTGTCCTTGTTTCAGCATTGTATTATTCCCCTTCCCCTCCCCAAATTAGATAAAGGTATATACAAGATGCAGGGTACCAAAATCAAATACAGTGACAACAGGATATACCATAGGGGGAAGAACTTACAAAAGAAACAAAAAAATCACATAGTACATTAAAAACAACGACAACAAAGAAAAACCTCTTAGGGTTTATTTTGCTTATCATCATCTAATATGGCCATATGTCCAGAGCTTTTGAGCTTTTCTGCTCCAATGACTTACTGTAGTGAAAATTTCATACCACCAGATACTCTTGATGTGCTAACCTACTATAGAGCTCTGGATATCTCCAAACCATTATGCTATCAAGAATTTTCCTTTCATTCCCCCAAGAACCAATTTCCATCCTCATAGGAAGGGCATCTCCCCCCATGGAATGCAGGGTCTCAACCAAAGGCAGTTTTGTCCCCCAGAAGACATTTGTGAACATATAGAGATGTTCTTTATTGGCAGCTTGGAGCAGTGCATATTGCTGCTACTAGTACCTTGTGGGTGGAAGTCAGGGATACAACCCACGATGCACAGGACAACTCCCCCCCCACACATACACCAGAGAATTATTTGGCCCCAAATGTCAATAGTGCTGAGTTTGCAACACCCTGCTATAATGTGATGGAAACATGCATTGTATTCTTAAGCACCCCAGAAGTGACTAGGGAAGGTCAAAGTGGACCCAGTCAGACCTTAAGGCCACAGGTGAAGAGAACATACAATAGATGTTGGGTACCTGGTGCAGGCAGAACCTGTGGGCAATGTGATTTGTTTGTTTTAGATACAAATAATTTTTTCCAGGCACTGGTGGCTCACTCCTGTAATCCTAGGCTGAGATCTAAGGACTGCAGTTCAGTGCCAGTCCAGGCAGAAAAGTACAGGAGACTTATTATCTCCAATAAACCACTCATAAAAAGAAGTAGTGCTGTGGCTCAAGTGGTAGAGCAAAAGAAGCTCAAGGACAGTCCTGAGTTCAAACCACAGGACTGGCAAAAAGTCCTAGAGGAAAGGAAAGGAGGGGAGGAGAGAGGAGGGAAGAGGGGAGAAGGAGAGGAAAGGAAAGGGGGTATCATTTTAATCTTAAGGACTGTTGCTTGGGTTTTTTCAATAATATATTGGCTTTTGTTTTTTGTCAAATATGTGTAAAATGTGTATAAGTACTCTAAATATGTGTTCATTGCTTAGCGATAATTAACTTTTTTTGTTTTCTTTTTGTGAGGTATAGACATATCTTGCTTATGAAACAGATGGATTTCTGAAAGTTGTATGAATTCATTTTCTGTAAGGTGCATTTGTTTCTTCATTCCCAGTTGTTCCTTATTTGACCCGGCTCATAACATTGTTGCATTGTTGGTTTTGTGTGTGTGTGTGTGTGTTTGTGTCTCACATGTGCTTGCGTGTGAATGCACACACATGCCAGTCCTGGGGCTTGAACTCAGAACCTGGATGCTGTCCCTTTTGCTCAAGGTTAGGACTGTAATTGAGTCACAGCTCCACTTATGGGTTTGCAGGGGATTTTTTTTAATGCTTAATTGTTGATAAAAGTCTCATGGACTCTCCTGTCCAGACTGGCTTTGAACCTCAATCCTCAGATCTTAGCCTCCTGAGTAGCTAGAATTACAGGTGTGAGCCCCTGGTACCTAGCTCTAACACTGTTTATTTTTTTTAATGGAATTAAGATTTAAATTCCTAGCCTGTGCTTCCCTGTGAGCTATGTTCCAGCCCTTTTTGCTTTAGGTAGTTATTGAACAGGGTTTTGTATTTATGCCTAGGCTGACATAAAAAACCTTTGAGCCTCATATTTACACTTGCTGGGTACTTGGGATGACAGGCTCATGTCACCTCATCCAGCTTTTATTAGTTAAGATGGAAGTTTCATGAATATTTGCTTGGGCTGGCCTTGAATAGCAGCCCTGATTTCTGCCATCTAAGTAGCCAAAATTACAGATTTGGATGACTGAGCCCCCAGCTTCTAACATTGTTGCTTTAAACTTATATTTAGCCACTTCTGCACTTGATCTTAGCCAAAAATCTGAGAAGCAAGTTTTTAGCCACCTCTTTATCTCTCTGAGTTTTAGAGAATGGGGACAATTTAAAATGGATATGTAGCTTAGAGATTGCCTAGCCTGCATGAGGCTCTGGGTCCCATTCCCAAAACAATTATAAAAGAAGATTTGGATCTACATACAAAGCGAAATGGCCTCTTCATAGATATGGTTTGGGTCATTGGGGCCAGGGTTCCTGACTCCCCTGTTGTTCCCATCATACTCATGGTCCCTTTTCTACTGCCCAGAGTTGGTGTGGAGGAGCCCTCCGAAGAGGATCAGAGTGCACACCGCTGGCAGTACTTCAGGTGACACAAGAGCATCCTCAGAAAACAATTAACTGGGCCTAGCTTTTCTCCTCTTTCTAACCTGAGATATTTCTCTTCATATGATTTGTTTATTCTTTCCTGTGTGCACTATCTCTTAGCCCTTTTAACCAAGGGGCAACAGATTAAATCAATTCTACTCATTTTTTCTACTCTTACTCTGGGTTCATTGGTGGGGTCATTGTTCCTGGAATCTTCCCCCTCCTTGCACCTCCCCCTCCCCCCGTTTTTCCTTGTTTTGGATCATATATTGTCAAATCCAAAGCCTGCATTGGCAAATATCTTCTTGGGTATTTTTGGTTGTTTTCGTGTGTGTGTGTGTGTGTGTGTGTGTGTGTGTGTGTGTGTGTTCATTCTGGTCCTGGGGTTTGAACTCAGCCTGGGCACTGTCCTTGAGCTTCTTTTGCTCAAGGCTTGTGCTCTACCACTTGAGCTACAGCTCTACTTCCTTCTCTTTTGGTAGTTTTAGTGGAGAAAAGAATCCCACAGACTTTCCTACCTAGGCTGGCTTCACACCACAATCCTCAGATCTCAGCCTCCTGAGTAGCTAGGTTTACAGGCGTGAGCCACCAGTGCCCAGTGCTTAGTTAGTTTTAGGAGCAACCTATTTTCAGAGATGTTTTCTGTACAGGTCTGCTTAGGGCCTAGTAAATAAGGCCTGTAACTCATACAGAAAACCAGAAATTCATATTCCAGTTATTATCTCCTCAGAACTTACATTGTCCTAATTAAGCAGCAGTGCTGTTGTGTTTTTTTAAAATATTATTATTGTAAAAATACTGTTGTGGTGGTGGTTTTTAAAAGTATATATTTGTGCAGTACACTGGTGGCCCATGCCTGTAATCCTTGCTACTCAGGAAGCTGAAATCTGAGGATTCAGGTTTGGAGCCAGCTTGGGTAGACAGGTCTGTGAATCTCTTATAACCAATTAACCTATAAAAAGCCAGAAATTGAGGTGTGGCTTAAGAAGTAGAGCACCACCCTTGAACAGAAAGGCCAAGCAAGAGCTCAAGGCCCTGAGTTCAAGCCCCAGTGTCAGAAATCAATCAGTTATGTATTTGTACCTTCCCTGGTGATTCAGAAGATAATAGTGAACATTTTAAACAAAAAGATAAAGGCTCCCCTTATGAAATTTGTTTCTCAGTATTCATTCAAGTTTATACTTCTTTTGTGGGTGGTGATGTAAGAGCAAAGAAAGTGCATCATTCTATTTCTTCTTCCCTTTCTGGGTCTCTAAGTGGCATTTTCTCTTTCTGATCTCATTATTGGTGTGGATAGGATATGTCAAATGCAAAATAGACTTTAACTCTGTTCTTGGCATTGGGAAAATATTTTACTCCCTGAGCACAGTGGCAAAAACAGTAATACCTGAATGGAGCATGAAGATTTGAAATGTCATGTCCCAGATTTACGTTGTAATGACATATATGAAGTTAATTGTAGCCGGGCACCAGTGGCTCACACCTGTAACCCTAGCTACTTAGGATGCTGAGATCTGAGGATGGTGGTTCAAAGCCAGCTGGGGCAGGAAAGTCCTTGAGACTCTTCAACTAACCACCAGAAAATCAGAAGTGGCACTATCGTTCAAGTGGTAGAGTGCTTGCCTTGAGCTGAAGAGCTCAGAGGCAGCACCCAGACTCAAAGTTCAAGCCCCAGAACCCACAAAAAAGTTAATTGTAGTGTCTTTTTTAGTGTTTTGGTGGCACTGGAATTTGAATTCAGGGCCTTGCTCCCAGTCCTAATCAAAGTCATCAAAGAACTCAAGGAGTTCACACTTTTCTACTGCACAAAATTAGCATACACACACACACACACACTCTCTCTCTCTCTCTATCAAAACTTCATGTTTGGAGATGAGACATTAGATACCAATTAGGTTGCAGCCTACCTTCAAGGAGGAAAGTCTTTTAGACAAGTAAGACTCAGCTTAAGATCTGATGTTCAGGGTATATGTCTCCTATTCCTCAAATTATTTGCAACCTTGGCTATTGAGATCTTTAAAAAGCTGTGGATGGGTAGAACTCAGTGATAGAGCACATGTTCAGCATGCACAAGCCCTGGCTTCCATCCCCAGTACCTCCACAATATTGTGGATTCAAGATCACATCCAAGATGTCTGAGATTTCATGACACCCTCATCCATTAATCAAAATGGGAAATATACTAAAGGGGAAGTTATTCATTTTTTTGTCATTCATTCCTTTCAGAATGAGCATATCACTCTGATTGCTTTCTTTTCTCATTTACTATGGAGTTTTCACATTTGTCTCATTCGTAATGAAAAATAGTGATCATCCAATTCTTGAGTGAAGGAAAGAGCATTGTTGTATCCTCCAATAAGCTCAAGCTAAACTACAATAGAATAAAGCATCCCAACACTTCCAAGCTTACATACAGTGTTCTGGATCAAAAGCATTGTAGCTGGTCAGGAGAGAAATATATATTCTGGACAGTTGCCTGAAACCAGAGCTTTCAGAAATTTGTTGGGGGACCACATCAAATCCTCTTTAGCTTTAAATTTGCACCTGAAATCCTCTATGTGGTCTTTCTTGCTGCAGAGCACCACAGCAATACTCTGGCCCATTGCTTTATCTCTTGTTCCCAGAGACTAGTTTGCTTCTGGGCTCGGCCCCATGGGTGGAGCCTTTTTTAGAGAGAGCACATGGTTTTCTGTGTCACCCCTGGGGAGTCCAAGAACCCCTGGAGTCTGCCAGAAAAGTAATTATGAAATCACCCTAACGGAAAAGCCTTGAATGGTAAAGACATTGCAGAAGAACGTGATATTTCTCCTGGCCCCTCGTTTTCTTCTGTAGCACTTACAAAATAGTAGCAAGCTGGGAAGCAGGTGTTTCTTTTCTTGGAATTCTACTATTAAGCATTTGTGTCAGCAATCAGCACCTCCAAAAAACCCCATGGGGCCTTGCCACTTTCCTCTGTGTATGGGGAAAGCCCAGGAGGTCCTCTTACCCTCTGTACTGTCAAGAGTTCGGACTGTATCTCAGATGGATGATTAATAACAAGTGGCTATGAAGAAGGCCACTGGGTGGGACTCCCCTCAGATTTACAACTTTTCAGGGGATGTATACAACCAGATCTGAACATGGCTACCTTGTTTGAAATTTGACTACCACATGTCTCCCTTAACTAGCATTGTTTTTTTTTTGGAGGTGGGGGGTCTGTTGTGGGGCTTGAACTCTGGGCCTGAGCGCTGTCCCTCAGCTCTTCAGCTCAAGGCTAGTGCTGTACTACTTGAGCCACAGCATCACTTCTGGTTTTCTGGTGGTTAATTGGAGATAAGAGTCTCACAGACTTTCTTGCCCGGGCTGGCTTTGAATCGCAATCCTCAGATCTCAGCGTCCTGAGTAGCTAGGATTGCAGGCGTGAGCCACCGGTTCCTGGCTTAACTAGCATTTTTATCCATGCCTTTTTCTCTTTTTATTTTCTTGGTGGTAGTGTAGGTTGAACTCAGAGCCTGGGCATTGTTCCTTAGGATTTTTTTCTCAAAGCTAGCATTCTACCACTTGAGCCACAACTCCATTTCTAGCTTTCTTTGTTGTTGGTGGTGGTAGTCTTGAGGCTTGAGCCCAGGACTGGTTGCTGGCTCTGAGCTCAAGGCTAGTGCTCTACCTCTTTGAGCCACAGCTCAGCTTCTGTTTTTCTTGTTTTTTTTTTTTCTGGTGGTTAATTGGAGATAAGAATCTCACAAGCTTTCTTGCCTGGGCTGAATTGGGCCTGGGTGCTGTCCCTCAACTCTTCAGCCCAAGGCTAGTGCTCTACCACTTGAACCACAACACCACTTCTGGTTTTTTGGTGGTTTATTGGAGATAAGAGTCTCAAGGACTTTCCTGCCTGGGCTGGTTTTGAACCTCAATCCTCAGATCTCAGAGTAGCTAGGATTATAGGTATAAGCCATCAGTGCCCCACCACTTCTAGCTTTTTGCTAGTTAGTGGGAGTTAAGGTTTTCACAGAGTTTCCTGCCTGAGCTAGCTTCAAACCTTGATTCTCAGATTTCAGCTGCTTGAGTAACTAGGTTTACAGGCGTAAGCCACTGAACCATGGTAACAATGAGATGTACAAGACACTATGTTGAAAACAAACTTTACAACTTCAGGGGGAAGGGAGGAATTGGGGAGGTGGGAAGTGAAGGGATGGTAGGGGAAAAACAAAGGAGGGGGTAACAATGCTCCATAGGAAATGTACTCATTACCTTACTCATGTAACTGTAACCCCTCTGTACAGTATCTTTACAATAAAAAACATATTAAAAAAAGAAAGAAAGAAAATCTCCAGACATTACAGGATTTATGTGGAAAGGAAAACCACAGGGCTGGGAATGTGGCTTAGTGGTAGAGTGCTTGCCTAGCATTCATGAAGCCCTGGGTTTGATTCCTCAGTACCACATAAAGAGAAAAAGCCAGAGGTGGCACTGTGGCTCAAGTGGTAGAGTGCTAGCCTTGAGAAAAGAAGCTCCAGGACAGTGCCCAGGCCTTGAGTTCAAGCCCCAGGGCTGGCAAAAAAAAAGAAAATTAAAAGAATAGTACATAGTTACTAGAATCTATATTTACCTAGATAACTTATTATATATAATATATAGTCATGAATTTTGACAGTTTGTATTTTAAGACTGAAATAATATAAGCTTATGATTCATCAATATTAGTAAATTAGATTATACCATAGAGGCAGGAAAATAGATTGCTGTGTTTTTGAAACATTTTTTACCAAGGATATAATTACTCTTTTGTTGTTGTTGTTGGTGGTGGTCGTGGGGCCTGAACTCTGGGCCTGGGCGCTGTCCTTCAGCTCAAGGCTAGCACTCTACCACTTGAGCCACAGTGCCACTTCTGGCTTTTTCTGCTTATGTAGTGCTGAGGAATCAAACCCAGAGCCTCATGCATGCGAGGCAAGCACTCTACCACTGAGCCACCTTCCCAGACCCAATTACTCTTTTTTAATTGGGGACATTTTAAATATTCAAAAA